GGGGGAGGCCGCCCTGGCTGACCCGGCGGTAACTCTCCGCGGCGCTGGGCCGGTGCGTCCCGATAAAAGCCTGCGTTTCGCGCCGCTTCTCGCGGTTTGTGTCCTTTCCAGCGCCCCCGGTGTTCGTAAATACCCCGCGGGCCTTCCCCGCTGCGCGGGTGGGGCACAGGGGAAGCGAAACGCTTTTCCAGGCTAGGCGTAAGTCGCGGGCTGCTAGAGCCAGGTCTGCCTAAACCCGGCCTGAGAAGCTGCAGCTTGTGCGTGTTCACAGGGATGCATGAAGAAGGCAGCGCTCAGGAAAGCTTGCATTCTTGCTAGTTCTTGCTGTCAAGTATTTTAACGAAGTGGAATATCAGTCATGCAAAAACAAAAAAAAAAGAAAAAACCCAAGTTGTGAATCATGTCTGTTGGGAAGGAGTCAAAGGTATCTTCTCTGTAGTGCATTTCTAAATGAAAGTAAATTTTAAATGCATCACACAGTTTTCAGTCAGGGTAAATGGATGTGCATAATTTCTGAACTCGTTATGTTGATACGTTTTAAGGTTGTGTGGAGTTCTGGAGTTTATTCTAAATGGGGCTGTTCTTCAAAAGCTCTGTCGAAGTGGTCATAATGAATTCTGCCTGTGTTTTCAAGGGCCTGGGTTTCAGCCCCCCCGCGCACTCCTGTAACGACTGGATCGGGCCCCCCGACAAGCACTCCAACCTGCGCCCGGTCATCTTTTATGTGCCCCCCGAGGAGTCGCCCCTGGAGCGGCGGCTGCGGGAGGCGCGGCAGGAGGCCCAGGCCTGCGACCAGCGCTTCTGGGCACGGCACAACCGCGCCTTCCGCCAGGTGAGCCCGCCGCGATGCCCAGGGCCACTCGGCTCCCCCCTGCCCTCCCAGAATTGGGGGTTTGCTCTCTGTGAGGTAGGGTTCAGTTCTGCCCACCGTTACTGGCTGGTAGTTGATACCATTTCTTTTAATACACATGGTGTCTTTGTGGAAATTACTCTTTTTTTTTTGGTCATTAATTTATTTAAAATTATGCACAAAACTAAAGAACCTGTGTATTTTAATTGCCATTTAGTTGTGTATAATTATAGTTGCCTTTTTTTTTTTCCCATCTTGTACTGAAAAGAGAAAGTTGTAGCCACCCTACATGCAGGACTTATCTGTGAGTAGAGCGGCTGTTGAAAATGATTCTGCAGCTCTTCTTGCTCTGTCATAAGTGAGGTAAATCGGGTATAAGCACCAAGGTTAAATGAAGGACATGCCCTCATTCACTGGCAGTGTACCCCAACAAGGCTAAGAGTGGAGCTTCTTCAGTCATAGTCTGTCGTCCCTCATTGCAGCATTGGTTAGGAGACAGTGAATGTTGTTGGAAGAATGGTAACGGTTCAGTAATTCACCATCATTTGTGTTTATCTTTGATCATCATATCCTCCCAAAACTTGCAAAGATCTTGGAGAAAAAACAAAGGGTGTTTTTTAATTCCATAGAACTGCTTTTTAAGTTTGAAAAACTTACGTACAAATAATTATCCTGTTTCCATCTAAGTAATTTCAATCTTTTAAGGCTGCACGTTTTTCTCTGTGCTCAAATTCTCAGTTATACAATCCAGCACACCTTCATAGTTTGCCTTATAAGCTGAAGGTTCAGACCTTGTCAAACAATACTGAAGCTCAGCTGTAACTTTACTGCCCAAACAAGTTTTGTACGTTTCGGTAGAACACTTGCATGAATTAATTGATGCATGCAGGTAGCAGGATCTAAGTGACAAAGTTTAACTAACTCACTGGATTCAGGAAAATGTTTTGTTGACATTTCCAAGTATACTGAGCATTGCTTGTTACTCCAGAGGGTGTTAAGAACTACACCGCCATGTGATTAAAAACAATAGTTAACTTCAAGTACATCAGATTCTAATGTGGAAAAACACGTTTTAGGAAAAAGAAGAATTTATTTGTTCGAGACTGAAAGCCAAGGGTCTGGAAATGCGAGATGAAACAGGTTAGTGAGATCTTTGTTTGTAGTTTAGGATGCATTCTGAATTCTGTTCCACTTTGAATTTTGTTAGTTTGTGCTCGTTGTGTTCTGTCACAAGTGAATCTTGAGAATGGGAGTTAGAAGTGTTTTCAGGAGCATGGTAAAAAAAAAAGAGGGGAGGAGCTCTTTGCAGGTGTGCATGTGGGTGTCAGATCACCTGTTGCACTCTTTTTCCCCTGATTCCTTCCTCGCAGCCGGAGGGAATGCGCTGAAATCCTGGCCAAGTAATACAGTCATTCTGTAGTCTAAGGAGGAAAGGGCTTTCCCCTCTCACACGTCCTGACCCAGGGAGCTAGCTGAGCTAAACGTACAGAGCATTTGCCTCAGGTGCATGTTATGGTTGGGTGGATAAATTCACACTCTGGCTTCGGGTCCCTAGTGTATACAGTGAATAGAGTATTTTTCCTTGAGGGTGAATAAGGCAGCTTCTGAGGAGGCAGCAGCTGTTATCTGCCTGTCTTTGCCTGAGCACAGTTGCTGTAAAATAGTTGCGCCTCTAACTCATCATGTGAAAGCGAAGATGCCTTCATAATAACAGTGAATTGGCCATTGTAGTATGAGGTCGAACATTTTGTTCATAGAATAATGATCTGTTTGAGTTCAGTAAAGCATCTGCTCTGACATTCTGTACATCGCAGACCATTATTTTTCTCTTCTGTTTGTATCCTGGTGATCAACCTGTGGTTGAAGTTCTGTGTTGTTTAGAAAACACTTCTTTTCTATTCCCATTTTGGTTTGGGTTTCGCTTTTTTTTTTGTTTTGTTTCATTGTTATACCCTAGAAATAAAAGAAAAAAATAGTAAGCATGTAGAAATAGAATTCTATTGTCTGCATGTGTGGATTAACTCCATTCAATAATACAGCTGTATATAAAAATAAGAGTAATAACAATATACATGAACAATATACTGGAACAAAACTTTTTTATGTAAGTGAATCTACAATCAGTTCTGCTGATAACAGTTTGAAGAAACAAATTAACTATAGGTGTTAAGTAAGCAGCCTTCAAACAGTTTTAAGAGTAAATTTGACCCATAATACGTTAATCCATTGTAATATGTTAGTTTTGTAAATAATGACAAGTAGAACTGATCAATAATTTACATTTCTATGATCAGTCTCAGTAGCTTTAAAATGCATTTTGGAACAGTAAGAAGTTGACTATCACAATTTCATCTCCCTCTTCATACCCGTGTCCCCTGGGACATTCAAATTTGACCTCGTTTTAGAAACACTGAAAGTGCCAGGAAGTTTGCATAGGAGTTGTCCGGTAGAGTTGAGAATATTTGCTGGTTCTCAGGATTCTACGTATGTACTGTAGCCACAGGTTTTCCTTTTATGTTCTGTGGAGAGAATCCATCTCCTCTTATATTCTGCTTATGAGAGTGGCATATTCAAAGTCACCTTTTGTACTTGCTCCTTCACAAAATAATTGTCTACTATATTGTTAATAAATCTTATATATCGGAACGTAACTCTTTGGTATAAGTTATATGAAATTTATCAACAGCAGCAGAAAAAAAAGTACATCTGAAAATGTTGTGTCAGCCGTGGATAGCGTTCTTTCTATATTTATTGAGTTGCTTTAGAGGGGAAATTTAAGTTACCAAGTGCTCTTACTGGTGCTCTTTAGACTTCAGCCCTGCAAGAGATTAGTTTTACTCACAGGATGGCTACTCCTAGATCTATGGAGTTTTTCATAGGGGTCCACTAGTTCCCTAAATAATCTAAGACCTGATAAACATAACCACTTTTACAAGTAATAACGGCGTAAGAGTTATGCCAGCTTCAAGGTGATCGGTATTTTTAATTTGCTGTGCTCCCTAAGTTTTAAAAAGTTAGAAGATGGAAGCTTATTAACTCGTTTGGGGCTACACAGGAAGCTTGTAGGAGCCAGGAGTCAGACCTAGCTCTCCTGCATCTGAACCCAGTGTTTTAATCCAAAGAATTATCTTGACATTGTTATGCCAAAACTTATTTTCAGGTCAAAAAGCAGCACTGAATGCAGAAGAAATGGCCGACTTTTACAAAGACTTTCTAAGTAAAAATTTTAGAAAGCATATGCAGTACAACAGGTATGTAGAAGGTGTTTATGTTGACTATTATACATTGCAGTCTGAGTGAAAGGTGTAAGATCAAATCGGAAAATTTGAACGTTTTTTCCCATAAGTGGTAAAACAGCACATAAAGCTGTCATTTTAGAGAATGATTTTTTAAAATGCTATTATTAGCATTTGACAGAAATTTGCATTATCATGAGTTCTGCTGCTTCTTGTTGGTTGAGTGGAGAGATGAATCTCATCTGTGAGATTCGGAGAGATGAGATCAGGCACTCAATTTTTTCGCTTAGGGCATGGGTCTCTTCATGCCGCTAATTGAAACTGATAAATGTGACTAAAACAGCTGAAATTTCTATATAACAGATTCTAGTTGACTGTTAAATAAGGGCTAGTATATGTGATTCATCTCAAGATTGTTTTCATCTCAAGGAAACTGTTTGAGAGTAATATTTAGTATTTTTGGTTTTATTATTTTGCATGCATACAGTAAACGCGAAGGTGATTAGCCTTGAGTTTGAGGGATTTTTGTGTGGTGAAGCAGTAGTAAAATGATTGCCTGAACTCAGCCTCTAAGCCCACATCCACCGTGCCTCTTCCCAACATCTACTGCGCTGTTTCAGTGTTACTGTTTGTACAACTTGATAAACTGGTTTGAGGATCTGAAACAAACTGAAAAATTACTTTTGAACACACGTTACCCTGCAAGTAGTTGTGCACGCTTGGGAGAGGGCTAGAAATGAGGAAGGAACTGGAAGCTGGAGGAGGATAGCACTTCATGCAGTTACAGTAGCACTGCTCACTGAGTATGACACCACAACTTCAGTTTCTTCTCTATATTGGATTGAAAGATTATTGGGCTCAAAGCTGTCAATTGTCACTGGGTTCCTAACGGTGTAATGCTAGTGGGAATTCCACCAGCAGTATAACTGGTCTATAACAAATTGGTTTAGGGTTCTTCATATGTATTGTGCATATATCGTAACATACTATGTTGTAAGGGCAATTTTACGGTAACAAATACTTAATGCAAATATGCACATCTTGTCTTGCCTGGTGTGTGTGGGGGGGAACCTCCCCATAAACCTGAGCAACAGCATGAAAAGATGGAAAGTAAAAAAATTATTTTTAGTAAGAGGATTGTTGTTCAAATTGCCTATAACTGATGAGTGAGAAAGCAAAGAGTTTATCTTGGAACTAGTCACCAGATGCCATTGTTGTAGTGGCCTCGGGATAGTGTCCCGTCTTCACGGTAAGAGAGTTCAGGCTTTGTGCCTAACCATGACCTTCCTTGTTGCTGCCTTGTAAAATCACGTAGTGTCAGCTGCATCGTTGTAGTTTCAAAGTGGAACTGCACAGCCCTGAAGGCAGTGGAGCTTTTTACAGGCACTCTGTTCTGAGGGGTCATATTTATAAAAATCTGTTTATGCATTCAGCTGTATGTTCTTTTACTGTGTTGCCAGCTGGCTTAAAAACTGTGGGTGCTGAAGTGTTAAACTTCTAAAATTTAGCTGAAATTGAAGCAATGATTGTGCATAGACATCATGAATATTTAGTTCAGGGTACTTAGACTGGAAATACAGTCTAGTTTGGGAAAAAAAAATGAGAAGGATATAGGAAATGAGACATGAAAGGGGAAAGGAAACAGTTGCAGTGTTAGCATGATATTTTGATTCAACATGACATTTGAGGGGGTAGCTCAGTGCTGCTTGTCAGCATGATTTTGGCTACTGTCCTTACTGGGAGGTTAGTATCTCAGGTTTGTGTTAGATCTGTATGTGCAAGTTTTCCCACAGAGATCTCAAGAGAAGACCGAAATCCCAGTGTTTAATATTTTCCACTAGTTCTACAGTATGTGTGGTTTATTGCTTCTTGTGTAGCACTTTACAAAATGGGGGAGGGATCGTTTTTAGAAATTAGAAAGAAATTATTAAATTGGTTTGTAACAGGGGCAAGAATTTGAAGCAAGTTCTCAGAGATTAAAAAGGGCTGATACAGACTATCCTGTCTACATCTTGAATTGGTTCCAGAAGCCATGCATGCTTCCTAAAAGCTATTTAAAGACAGAAAGACTCACTTTGGCCATATTAGAGGCATCATCTTTAAAAGGTACTGCATTAGAAACATAATGTTTCCTGTATTAGGTTATACAGTTAGTCTTTGATTTTGTTTTCATTTTTCCCACACTTATAGGTGACCAACTAAGCCCTTTCCAACACACACATCTTCATCATGCATAAACAAATCTTACCCATAGCACAGCACTGGCAGGAAATTCTTCTCGATAGCTTGATGATCACCTTACTTCTGAAACATGAGATATGGTTACAATTATTTTATCTTACCAAATCCCAAATACAGTTGGTCACAAAACTAGCCATCCCTTTTTTACAGTGAAGCTCTCAATGTTTATAGCTCTATAGTCCATACATAATCTGTTCATGGATGTGGATATTCATGTTGACCTTCTCATAGGTTATTTAACTGTCATTAAGCAGGAAAAGCATTGCCATGAATAATGGAAAATGCAGGTCATCACTGAATGGTCATTTATCAGTGCCAAAGGATATTTTAATATAATTGTGTACCTTTTTTCTGTTCTTGTTCTGTGTGCTGATGATTTTCCTGGCTTTGGAATCCTAGAGATTGGTATAAACGTAACTTTACTATCACATTCCTCATGGGACAAGTAGCACTGGCGAGAGCTCTGAGGTGGCTTCGTTGGAAAAAGAAAAGTGTTGGAAATTAATCACAGCTCCATGAAGAATGCAACACTAGCTAGGCTGCTATCAACTTGTTGTTTATAATGATGCTCAGAATCTGAATGACTAATGTAATAATTGCTTGAACCTGTTTGTTAAACTATATAAATAAAAGTTGCCATTGCCTTTAATTTATAATCACTATGTAGATTTTCTTTACCTTTTATTTCAAGAATATCTAAAATCTTTCCTGACCAAAACACAACTGAGAAAAACTATTAAAAGCTGTTCCTCATTTACATTAAACAGAATGGATCACAGCTGCCATGTTTTTATGACAGTCACAGCCCTAAATAACATCTGATTCAGTATGCTGTACCTTGACTCGGGTCAGAGAATGATGTCTCCACCAACCATATTAATGTATAAAGACAAAAATGCCTCATTCTGCAGCAGTTATCTGGGGCACTGGCTATCCGTAAGTGATACAACATGGCTGAAGGAAAAGTATGATTTGTGAGTATATGTACAATCAGTTTAGAATAATCCTCTTTTCAGTGTGATTATTTCCTATTTCTAATAAATATTTAAGATAAGATTTCATATAAGTCACTAATGCAATAGGATCTTCTTAGCTTTTAATTAAAAAGAAATGTGCCCCCTTGAACAAGATTTCCTCTAACTTATGATTGATAAAGATATTAGTTGCTGAGCAATAAAACAGATGCATTACCAGTCACTTAGTCTTGGTAGAAGAGGAAACTGATGCTTGGCTCTGTGGAGGAGAACAACATTAGTACTAACACGCACTGCTTTCTACTGGTTTATTTCTTTCAAAAAATGTGCTGTTCTCGCCGGTTTCTCCGAGGCACTCCAAACAACTCGCCTGAGGGTGATTTTTCTGGCCTCCAGGTATGTAACATCAATTGGAAGGAGGTTGGTTTAAGTGAAGTCTCAAAATGTTATGCCGTGTATCTGTAATTTAAAAGAAGTTCCATTCCTCAGAATGTTCTCCCTGTCCATTTATACAGTTAAATGATTTTTCTGATACAGTACTACTAAGAGGATTCCGTTAAACAGAATGTATGTTGCCAAATGAAGCGTGCCTTCTTAAAGCTATGCTGTAGGGAAGGTTCTGCTTTTCGAAATGTTAGCTCAGTAGCCATTGACCTGTTTTTCATATCTAAATGTGACATGATTTATTCACAGCTTTTTTCAGCTGGAGCAAAACCAGCTTTGTCAGTATCAACTGTAATAATTCCTTTGCAAGATTAAATGAATATTAATGTTATAGTAGCAGATCACACTGTTTCATATAATGATGATATATTTGCTGAGATGGTAACCAATACTTCTAGGAAAATATTATTTGTAAATGTTATTTACTGCATCAGTACTGTGAAAGGTGTATATTTATTAAAAAGTTACCAAATGCCCTGTTTCTTTAGGAAAATAAATTTTTGAAATGGACTACTGTGGGTATGTAATGTAAATCATATCTTACAGTCTAAAAGCTTTGACTGCAATGCAAATGCACACTTTAATAAGTTGTTCCAGTGCAGAAGAATGATAGGATAATACAGGAAGATGTCCCTGAAAGGCGGAGACGAGAACACCAGTGGGCTGGTGGTTGATAGCCATGTGTTCTGACAGCCTATGCGTAAGATCCCTAAGGTTGTTTCGCATACGCTCTAAGTGGGTAGAGGTCAATCAAAGGAACATTTTCATCTTCTGAGCTGCTCGCTTTTATTAACACGGACATTTTTGTGTCTGCCTGCAAAAAAAGATCAGGAAATTGATTCACTACTAGAACTAATCCAAGGAAAAAAAAGTGTTAGATGTCAGTTGAATTAATATGCCTCATCATGCAGATATAAGTGTTCCACTGTTGGCATGGGGGAGATGTGGGAATTCAGATGGAAGGTTTGGATTGTGCTTCAGTCAATTCACAGTTAAAACTGTTTTCTGAACGGGTAATTTTAGCATTGGTCACCCAAAAATATAAGCAGCGTATGATAGAACATACTAGCATTCTGCTCTGAGCTGCTTGTAGGGAACCTGTATGGCGTTGCCTTCATTAAGATTCTATGTGGAGTGCTGGGTCCCTTCATCTAAAGCCCATTGAAGGAGTGAGGTATTTATCTGTTAGGTAAGTGCTGAGCTCTGATTTAGAATATCTAATAAAGCCACTGTGACAAGATGTTATTAAAAATAATCCATCTGAAATTTTGAGTCTCATTACCAAAACCTCATACATTTACTGCGATAATTACATTTTCTGAACAGCCAAAAGCCATATCATTTTTGCCAGTGTTGCATTACTTTCGATTTTTTTTTTCCTTGACTCAGAGCAGTTGTAATAATGCCAGCTACTTTCAGATATTATTGATCATAAATCCTTTATACATCAAAGGAAGAATAAGGAGCTGCCCCAGACTGCTAAAAATAAATTTTTTATGTATACAAAGGCCTGCTACAGTAACTGAAGCTAATGAAATAGATCAAAGAGTGACTTTTCTGTGCACATTTTCTGAGTATAGGAAAAATACAGGGGAGTGTTCTTATCATTTAGGTATTTAGCTAATCCTGTCAGAAGGAATAGCAGTGTTTCATATTTAGTGGTGTCAGTACGTGCCTTTTTAATCTGTCTCATGCAATCAGTAAGTGCATAATAAAGCAATGGTATTTGGGTAATATTCAAATCATTTTAGATCATTTGTATTGACTTGGGGTGGTTCTGTTTTGATAATTTGTGTGGGTTTTTGTTATTCACTGAATTTCTCTACTGGAGCATTAATTTTGATAGAATATGAGAGGAGTAAGGAAGTGTCAAATGGGGATTGAGAGGCAGATGACTAAAGGTTGGGTTGAAGTGATTGTAGCACCTTTATATATGATTAATAAAGAACTGTACATCTTAAATGCATTTCTCGATTTCATTAGGAGCTTTCAAAGTAATGGTAGCAACTACTGAGAAGATAGCTGCTATGTTTGACTGAACATTCTTATGGATAAAATTAAAATCTAGTTCAAAGCTCAGATTTGTTATTTAGAAGCTGACCCTTCCTGGCCCCATTTTAAGGGGAATGTTGTGCTTGCAATTTTTAGCTTTCACTATCACTAAGCAAGACTGGTATCCTCCAGGGTAATCGGATTTAGGCAAACAAGAACTTAATTTACATCCTGCGCAGAGCCCACGGGCCAGTCTTTTGCATGAAGACTGGGAGAGTGAAATGTTTTCAGGAAAGGATAATATATGCCTGGAACGTAATATGCATGAATAACATTTTCATATTAAAAATTATATCCACTGATTGCTGTAAACTGATTCACAGAATAATAACCCTATAATAATATTCAGGTTAATTTCTCCAAAAAAAAAAATAATCAGGGAAACACAAGTCACTTTATTTCTTAGGAGTTTGTTTCTTAAAAAGATTTTGTAAGTACATGGAACGTAATCATCTTGAAATACATACTCATTAATATTCATTATTATATAAATAACTTCTTTGTGCCTTGACTTTGCATTCATTAATAGCTTAAGATTTACCCAAGTATTGTGAGTTTTAGTTGACTGATACATTCAAAGAGCAGATGTACTACTTTTGGCTAGCAATAGTAAAGGCAAAAAATGACATGATCCCTTTTTAAGAGTGTTCTTACTCAGGAGAAATACTATTTTTTGGTACTACCCGCAGTCCAAATCAGTTTTAGAAGCTGTGTAAATGCTCTGAAGACATGGTCCCTGCTTCACACAGCTGCTTGTGTTTTCTTAGTTCAAACCAGATACCCATTTAATCCATTTTTTTATATTTTTCAGGGAAAGGCACAGTGACTTTGCTTTCTGGTATATGCAGGTTGTCATCCTTAGGGGTGACCCCAGGTGTGTTGTGACCGGGGCCTGGGGTGGCAGGAGGCAGAATGACTGTATGCATCTCCTGAGTCTGCCAGGAGGCAATTAGCGCTCAGCCTAAGCTGGAGTAGCCCTGAAGCTTCCCAGATGGAGCATGACTGGCATGAGTTTCCAGCAGCCCCCAAGCCTGTCAAGAATTACCAGCATTCAGCAGTACTCTGTTCACACCGCTGCCTCCAAAGAACCCACTGATATCATTCGGCTGCAGAACTGGCTGTGATAACTTTCATCAGCTCAGCCAAAACACGTTAACAGGCAAAACGCAAGTTTCAGAATTGTAAGAAATTCAGGTCGTTATTCATATCTCATTCTTAAAAAACTTCCTGTTGACAGACTTTAGCTCCGTCTTTGTAATAAATCCCTGCTGTGGAAAAATTTTCATATGATGATCAGTATGTAGCATACATTGGCTGTTTTTAAAGGTTTCCAGAAAAGTTACAGATTTTCATTTCTAGAATGATTTGAATAATTAGAAGCCTAGATTCTTTGGCGGGTGTGTGTGTTTTGCAAAACAGGTTTTGTAGTCATGCCTATGTTAGAAGACAAAATCCATGAATTGCAAATTTCAAAAGAGATTAATTGACTGCCTTGATTGCTTTCCAAGTGATTTTATTATTCTGGAGTGCCATATAGGAAATAGATGGTATGACACAGCATAAGTATTCTGTAACAAACCAAGTCAAGACAGTTCTGACCTTAGTAGCTGTGGAAACTATATATACTTAGGTAGAAAACTCTTATTTGTCCAAAACTGTATGAGACTGAAAGACAAAATGGGAACTAAATTCCAATGAGTATGTAAGAAAATGTCTTCTGGGTTTACCAATCTTCTTCTCACATTTACCAAAACAATATTTCACTTTTAAGTCATGTCTGGAAAACCCAGTTTCCTCAGGCCTCAAGAAAAATTCCACCATGACAAACAGAACAAAGTACTAAGCTGACATATGAGTAAATAGCCACAGGTAATAATTTGTGTCAAAGGAAAATTCAAGCTCACTTCAAAGAAAAAAATCAGCTGTGATATAGGATACTATAAAGCAATTTTAATTTCCAAGTGATGCTCAAAATTAATTCATTTGCTATGCTCCTCTGCTGCTTCTTCCCTGGTGCTGCTTTTGCTGTAATCTG